CAAATTGCTGGTCAGAAATGGCGATGCCAAGAACACTCTGCTGACGGTGCGTTAATAGTAAATCACCTCTATCACATCGTTGGTTTCCCCCTCACTCCCAGGGGCTGTGTCTTGCTTATATTTATGGACAGTTTGAAAGTGGGCAGATATTCATATTCCCAGAACCCTTGTTGTATCAGCCAAAATAGTAACAGCTCTCGTTTGGGGGCCTCTCACAGTGGCTAGCAGTGAGCTAAGTGCTTTATAAATAATATCCTATTTAACAGAGGAGCAATCTGAAGCTCAGAGAGGCATCACAACTTGCTGATTAAGAAAAGAATAGATCCAGGATCCAAACATATACCTTCCTGACCTCTGAGCCTGGAGACTTCCCGCTCAGCCTCTCAGCCTTGATATCATATAATTTAAGGACTTCGTGGATTTCTGAGAACATTTTCATCTTTTATTATATTGGCTCCTCCAAAGAACTTCTGAACTTAGCAGGTAAAAAACCCTGGGCTCAGAGAGGTACAGTGTCCTCCCCAAGGTCACACAGCTTTTAAATAAGGGGCCAACAGGAGACTTGAACTGAGGTCCTACCATCCCAAAGCCAAAGCTCTATCTTCTTTATCATGGTTTCCAAGTCCACAGCAAAGAAGATGGACAGCTAATGTCACATCCTTGGATGATTCTTATTTTAACCCGCCCCCCCCCCCGCCCCGAAACTCATGTTCTCTTAATCTCGACATTGGCTGGCACGTATTCATCAAGCAATCAAAAGACAAATGCCTAGGAGAGCAGAACGTGCAGACCACAGCCAAAATGACCTCACAAGGAGCAGGTTGTGCCAAGCAAATCTCATTTCCTCTGACAGAACGGCAGGCTGGGAGATAAGGCTAAAGGCACCGACGCCGTCGTTTCCCTGGTTCTGAAGGACAACGTGGATTAGCTCCACAGAAACACCTGCGGGGGGGCGAGGGGGGGAGGTCACCCCACACACACCCACAGAGGCATGCACCCACACAGACACACAGACACGTCTCCAGAGACACGCATGCCAACCGAGAGATGCAGACAGACGCAGCTATCAACACTCCCCCAACTCAGACACACACACACACGCTTAAATACAGACACAGTCAGAGATACACAGTCACACAGAGACATATGCAAACACACACACCTACACACAAACATGCCTGCCTCCCCTCCTCATGCACACACCAGAGGTACGTGCGCACAGTCACACACACACACAGAAACGGAGACACACAAGGATGGTCACAGACACACATCCACACACCAGGACACATCCAGTACCCCTCGCGGCCAGGAGGAGCCTGCTCCTCTCAAAACCCTCGTCCATAGCCTGCAAGTTACATCCTTCCCAAACTGGAGCCTCTGAAAGCTGTATGCCTCCAGGGTCCATGCGTGTTCTCAGCTCTGCCTTGGCCTGGTGTCTTCACCCAGAAACTTGAAACACACCCCAGCAGCTGTGTGCAGTTGAGAAAGATTCCACACTTTGGAGTCAGGCTGGTCTGCGTTCTACGATAGTTGAGGCTCTGCCAGTTACTAGATGTGGGGACCTAGACAGGTCTCTTCACCTTTCTGAGCTTCGGTTTTCTCATCTGCAAAAGGGGCTGATAATCCCTGTGATGAGCCCATTGAATGGGGGCCCCTTGAAGTTCTGGTATTCAGCAAGGACCTCTCTATGGCAGGTATTTTTGCTATCTGAATGTCTGTCTCCCTCCCCAGCCTGGAGCCACCTTGTAGGTAGGGGTCTTGTCTGTTTCTACCCAAGTCTGTTTCCAGGGCTGAGCAGTGTCTGCCAGGCACATGGTAAGTGAAAGGGAAAGTGTTAGTCACTCAGCTGTGTTCGACTCTATGACCCCATGGACTGCAGCCCGCCAGGCTCCCCTGTCCATGGGATTCTCCAGGCAAGAATACTGGAGTGGGTAGCCATTCCCTTCTCCAGAGGATCTTCCCAACCCAGGGATTGAACCCAGGTTTCTTGCACTTCAGGCAGATTCTTTACTGCTGAGCCACCAGGAAGACCTGGCACATGATAGGTGTTCAGCAAATATTTATGAAATAAGCAAGTCCATATCCTTAGCTCCTAGTACAGACCGGGCACAGAGGATATGATCAACTGCAGTTACAGAGTGTTGAGAAAAGTGATACATGAAAATATAATTGCAACCATGGACCAAGCTCTAATTGTACATCAGGCATGTCTTTTGCAGCATTCCATGCTCTCCATGACAGGCATTCATTTTGTAGATGAGGAAACTGAGATCCAAAGAAGTCGTTTACCAAGGTTACCTGATTTCCTGAGGGTGGCAGCTCAAAACTGGGAATCTGATTGCTGAACCTAACTCTAGACTCCATGAGTAAATATTTTCCTCTGGTGACACAACTCCACTGATGATGTCTACAGCCAGCTCTGCTTAGTTACAATGTGGACTAACTCTTTGGAGTGAATTGTCATCTTCAATCCCTGGACGTCTCCGTATATAGCATCTGTCTGGAATATCTTCCATGTGGCCATGCTTACCTTTTTTAAATATTACAATCCCAAACTCCTGATGTCTGCATTTCTCCTTGGTCCCTGTCAGCTAACATCTATCCATTGATCTATCTTTCTATCTATGATCTGACCATTAACGCCCATTCTGTCCTCAGATGTTTTTCCTCTGTGTTCTTGTAAACTACACAGCCCCAGCCTGAATCTGTCAAATCTGTTTTCCTCTCTCTTGCATTGGTACAATCCAAGGGTTTCAAACTCAACCCACCTGTGGGCCAATTAAGCTACTTTGCATGACAACCGCATTTGGCAGTAATTGAAGGCGAACAGTTGAGCATTTTGCAAATCCTGAAAGGTTGCTAACACTTGTACCAGCCTTGCTTCTGCACACCTTAGAAAACAGACTCAAATCCCCACCACCCCTCGCCCAACAATTTCCCTGAAAAAGAAGAATTTTATGAAAGATTTCTGTCTCTATTCAGGGTCGTGCAAAATGGTAACAGCCACAGGCTATGGAGGCCATAATTACCTTTCCACACACAGGAAAATACAAATGTCTAAAGACAGTGGCCACCTTGCATGCAGGGGGCCAGGGCAGGCTGCAGTGACTCATTAGGCATGCCAGGCAGCCTCTTTCCCCCTGCAAGCAGGCTCCATACTCACTCACAGCTTTGCCAGGTGAATGAGCGGAACAGAGGCATCTGACAGCGGGGGCGTTTCTATTTCTGATAGCTTGAACCCTAACATGACACAGGTGGTTTTTAAGACTTTTTTTAATGAAATCATCCTGGGGGAAGAAAAAGGGTGAAAGTATTAGTCGCTCAGTCATGTCTGAGTCTTTGCAACCCCATGGACTGTAGTCTGCCAAGCTCTTCTGTCCATGGAATCCTCCAGGCAAGAATACTGGAGTGGGTAGCCATTCCCTTCTCAAGGGGATCTTCCTGATCCAGGGATCAAACTCAGGTCTCCTGCACTTCAGGCAGATACTTTACCATCTGAGGCACCAGAGAAGACCAAAGTCATTCTCTTGCTTCCCAATTATGGCTCTATTCATTGGAATAGTCTCTGTGAACAGATTTTTAAAAAATAATACACACATACATATAATATATGTATTAGCCAAGCAATCTGTATTTTCCCTACCCTTGCCACCTCAAATCCCTCCCCCAACTCTCTCCCTCAGCACCTGCCTGAAAGTCTACCATGATCAGGTCATTGCACGGGGTTGAACTTGGTCCTGGTGTAGGTGTCGGGGGATGGACTGTTTGATAGAACAGCAACTTCTTAGTGTACAGAGCAGGTGGGTGGGAGGGAAGGCATGCTGACACAGCAAAGAAGAGAGCCCCTGTGAGCCAGGAAGGGCACCAGGCCCTTCACAGAAGTCATCTCCTCAGACACCCACAGGCCCCAGTCCCCGACTCTCTGCATTTCAGAGGTGCTAAAAGAGACTTTCGGAGAGAGGAAGTGACCTCCCCCCACCAAGCACTCACAGAAAGACCAGGATGCAGGTTTGTTTGGCTTCAAAGGCTAAACTCTCTCCTCATATCCCCATCACCTCCCAAATGTTTTACAGTCCTACTAAAATGCTGCTGAACACACCACACTTTGTCCACCTGGGGATGACAAATGTGCTTTCAAGTGCCAATGTCAATACACTGGCGGAACCAGGAAAATGTCATATTTCCTGGGAAAATGGGTCTATTTCACTGAAAGGGTGGAGATGAGGATGCAGCATGCATGTGTGACCAGGAGAGCTCGGTACAAAGACCTGAAGTGCAGAGGATGGTGGAGAAGCAACAGGCAGGCCCCGGGATCCCTGCACGGATGGCTGAGCCCCAGAAAGCAGCCCTGGGGTGCTCTTCTTTGGTGAACCCTAGTTTTTGTATTTATTTGGGCCACAGTGCATTTTACAGTCAGCTGCTGCTGAAGAATTCTAGTTGACCATGGTCCCTAGCAACTACAAGAAATTAGTGGAGTTCTGAGGCTGCCTCTGTGATATACATTTTTTTGCATTTTATTTTGTTGAAGTATAGTTGATTTGCAATGTTGTGTTTCTACTGTATGGCAATGTGATTCACTTATACATATATATATATATACATTCCTTTTCATACTCTTTTCTATTATACTTTATCACAGTACATTGAATACACTTCCCTGTAGCACTTATTTTCTACTGTCATTTTAAAAATGATACGTTCTCCATGTTAGACTATAAACTCTAACATTTTTATCTTTGGTTCTCTTTCCTATGATGGTACCTTAATAGAGTAAAAGCTCTAACCGTTGGAATAAATCAATAATGAGTTAATTTAGTCATTTTATAAGGGAAGGGCTTTAACTAACTAAAACAAGACACCTTCCGTGTGAGCCTAACAAGAGGCAGAGGGGAAGACAGACTGACATGAGCTTTTCTGCTCTAGAGGTTTCTGCTGAGAAGCTTCCTTATTCACAGAATCCTAACTCCAACTGGACTTCAGCCCAAACTCACTCTTACCCCCTCTCCAGGCTCTTTCTCTTGGGGTCCCCATTTTGACAGCTCGGTAGAAGGCGCCATCAGAGGTTGTGGGGTCATCCTGAGTTCTTGGCTCTCTGTGTCCTCCCCCCCACCATTTACCAAGTCTGGGTGGCCCTGCCCTCCAGGCTCCAGGGACCTGGTCCCCTGCTCACCAAGTCTCTCTGCGCACTGCAGGCCTCTCTTTCCTTGTCAAGGTGGCTGCACCAGGCCCCTCCCTGCTCCTCTGACTCCAGCCCACCCTTCCCGCCGCACCCCCTTACCCCCCCCCCCCACCGCCCAGCTCAGAGAGAACGTTCTAAATCACAAAACCGGCCACCTCGCCACATGCTCAAAAATCCTCCCATAGATCTCCATTTTCTGAAGATAAAATCCAAATGTCCAGACCTGACATCCAAGACCTTCTGTTACCAGATCCCTGCCCACTTCTCCAGCCTTATCCACAGCTGCTCCCCAAGGCACAACCTGCACCCTCCTCTGTCCAAACGGGCGGCAGCCCCTCAGAGGCCCATCTCCATGCCTCCCCTTTAACCAGGCTCTTCCCTGCTGAGGCCCCTTCCGGCTTATCCAACTCCTCTCATTCTTCAGCTCCACTCTGGCCTCGTAAGGCCCACCCCTCCCGTCTGGACGGCCCAGGTGGGATGCCTCCTCTGGGCCTCCATGCCCTCCAGCGTCACTCATCCCCTGGTGTCAGGAGTCTGCTTTTGCGTTTTTAAGAGGAGATTCTCAGGAGGTTGGGCAGAACTCGTGGCTTAGTTAAAAACATTTGGAGGAAGGTATGTCAGAGCAAGATGCTGCACTCTTCCCTGCTGGCCGGAAAAGTGTCCCCTGGGCTGTGCCGAAAAGGACTGGGGGGGGACAGTGAGAGTAACCGCCCTGACCAAACAGGCCTGTGTGCGCGGCTCCCCGGGCCCGGTAAGGGGACAGCGTCCCCAGAGGAAGACCCTGTGGGGCCTCTGAGCAGAAGGCAAGGAGGACCCCCAGGGAGGAAGGAAAGCCCCAAAGCGCAGCAGTGTCCACATGACATGCAGGCGATTGGGAGTTCAGGCCTCTCTCAGAGTTTACCACAATCCTGTGAGGCAGAAGAAGTCATACAATGACTCTTGTGAGCCCTAGACTGTCACAGAGGTCACAGAGTCACCTGATCTGAGTTAACTCACAAACAAGAACAAGGGACTGCTCCATGGTGTCCGCATTGACCAATGACTGAATGATAAACGCCACTGAAGGGGACATCAGTGACCAGTGGCCTTCCTGCCATCACCGAGCACGCCAGCATAGACGTGATCGCTGGGGACTGGAGGGAATGCTTCGACTGTGATTCAGCTGAGACCGGCCCCAGCTAAACAGAGACTCAATAGAAACTGAACCTAGGCATAATAGAGAAACACAGATTTTATATGTATCCCACACCTGAGTTTGTAGACTGAAAATCCTACCCATTACACGTGAATGAAGGAAATAACACAGTTGATGAAAGTAACTTGGCCAGTAAGGCACACATATTCAGAGCTGGGCTGAGTAAAATTTCAAGCACCCTTCCTTCCTGTGACAGGAGAAGGATGGCTTCTGTGCAAGAATGAGGCTGGAGAGGAATTCTGAAAAATGAGTAGAACTAGGCAGGGAGGGAGACAAGAGCGGCCAAACAGACAGAACTGCACATGCAAAGGGCCTGTGGTAGGAAGGAGCTGGGCTCATTCATGGGGGGAAAGAGACTCCTGTGTCAGAAACCGTGAGAGTGAAGGTGAGTGAAGAGGCAGAACACTGACTGGCGCTTCTGACTCTCCCTCCTCAATCCCCTTTAGTTGGGGCTACACCTAGTGACTTATTTCTAACAAACAGGATAAGATAGCCACGGATGCCGCCTCTGAGATTAGCTTCTAAAAGACTTCCCTCTTGCACCCACTCTGTCTCTGGCTTTATCCCTTGCTTGTTCTGCTGAAGCAAGCCGCCATATCGTAAGCTATGCTACGGAGAAGCTCTCATGGCAAGACGCTGAGAGAGCCTCTGGCCAACAGCCAGCGAGGAGCTAAATCCTGCCAGTAACTGCAGGAGTGAACTTGGAAGATCAGCCCTGAGTTGAGGCTTGAGATGACCACAGTCTCCTGTATAACTTGGTTGCAGCCTTGTGCAAAGCCCTGAGCCAGAGGACCCAACTAAGTCATGTACAGATTTCTGACCCACAGAACTAGTGACATCATAAACCCGTGTTGTTTTCTAAGTGACTGTTTGGGGGCCACTGTTGCACAGTGATAGGTAACTAATGCAGCTGATAAAGTAGGCAGGTATGAGATAATGCAAAATATTTTTTATTTTGGTGGTTAGTCTTAGGGTTTTAGTAAATTCTCCACATGGAACCTGTGTGTAATTCACCTGAGCTTCTGACTCTGAATGTTTCTGATTCATTAAAAAAATCTATGTAGCATTAGGAGTTGTACGTAAGCTAATATCAGATTCTCTAACATGGAAATGGTATGGAGCAATAGGAAGTTGGAAGGGACAGGAACTAACCTGTGCTGACAATCTATGGAGAACCTGCTGCTGCTGCCGCTAAGTCGCTTCAGTCGTGTCCGACTCTGTGCGACCCCATAGACAGCAGCCCACCAGGCTCCACCGTCCCTGGGATTCTCCAGGCAAAAACACTGGAGTGGGTTGCCATTTCCTTCACCAATGCATGAAATTGAAAAGTGAAAGCGAAGTCACTCAGACGTGTCCGACTCTCAGAGACCCCATGGACTGCAGCCCACCAGGCTCCTCCGTCCATTCCAGGCAAGAGTGCTGGAGTGACCAGGTTCTTGTGAAATGCTTTTGCTTCCAGTGTTGGCCCAGGCACACCTTTCCAATGAAACTGAAGAAGCTTTGACTATGGCAGGGACAACATTTTACCCTTTCTCTTTGCTAAAAAGAACCCCTATATTATTGGGGGGGGGATCTACTTACCCAGTACACTTTCCCAGCCTCCCTTGCTGTGTGCATGTGTGGGGAGGTAGGCAATAAGATATAAGCAGAAATCACTGGATGGATGTTTTGTTCTTAAATGTTGACTCATCGGAGAAGCACACTCTCTTGTATTTCTCTTCTCCTTGCTGGTGCCTGGAAATGTGGGCACGATGACTGGAGCTGTGGCAACATTTATGACCATGTAATGATCTTGATGCTTGAAGCCACACTTCAAGGATAACAGAACAAAAAGATGGAAGGAACCTTGGCTCCCTGGAAGGGATGACATGGGAGCCACCATTCCAAGCCTTGACTCTTTGCAGTGTCACATGAAAGAAAAATAATTCTTTATCTTGTTTAAGTCATGATTATCTAGATTTTCTCTTTCAGGGAGCTGAAAACCAGTCAGTCCTAAGTAATACTTGCATTCTGAGTAAGGTACTTAGCTACATTTTGGGATTTCACTTTTAAATTGCCAAGACTCCAGGCTCTCAGAGAAAGATTTTCCCTTTTGCCTCTCTTGGTTAACAGTTATTAGTATGCTTTTGAATTGTGGTGTTGGAGACGACTCTTGAGAGTCCCTTGGACTGCATGGAGATCTAACTAATCAGTCCTAAAGGAAATCAACCCTGAATAGAAGTTGGAAAGACTAATGCTGAAGCTGAGTCTCCAATACTTTGTCCACCTGATGCAAAGAGCTGACTCTGGAAAAGACCCTGATGCTGGGAAAGATTGAAGGCAAAAGGAGAAGGGGGTGGCAGAGGATGAGATGGTTGGATGGCATCACCGACTCAATGGATATGATTTTGAGCAAACTCTGCGAGATAGCAGAGAACAGAGGAGCCTGGCATGCTGCAGTCCATGGGGTCCCAAAGAGTCACACATGACTTGGCAACTGAACAGCCATAACAACAACGCTCTTCAGAGGAGAGCAGAGGGGCCTAAAATTTCCCGAACTTTACCCCATACAGCATACTCTACCCATCATTAGTACTTATCTCACAACATATTTGTGAACTGGGGCTATCATCCCATTTCACAGATGAGGAAATGGAGGTTCAGACAGATTATATCACCCTCCAGGGAACACAGCTAGGATCTGAACCCCGACCTGTCTGACCCCATAGCCTGTACTTTTTCTGTTGTTTTCCCACTGTCTCCCAGTCTAGAACTCTGAGTCCTAGTTCAGGCAGAAGATGGGACAAGTCAGATCATCCTGAGATCCCTGGACCAGGCTGCCCAGCTCTCACTCAAATCTTCTAACTGCAGCCACCAAATGAAGGCTTCTCTACTGCCAGGTGACTAAAGCAGACGGCCCAGCTGGTCCTCCCTGTAACTCACTGCCATCCTGTTTACTGGCCATCTGGCCCTCATCTCTGTGATTCTCTGACTGTCCCTCCTCAAGGACCCTCTTAAAGGGACAGAAACTCTCCTTGGTTTCATAAAGAACCTCCATTCCTAAGTGAATGTATTTCCAACCTTGACCAGAGCAAGCCTGCCAAAGAAAAGGCCAAAACCACAGGGTTTTCTGGGAGCCACACAAGTCTATTTCTGACCTCAGATTACAGCATCCAAAAGGATTACCTGTTCTAAGCAAACACATTCAAAACCCGTGACAGGAATGCAATCAGGGCCACCTGACTCCTCAGCAGGCTCCAAATATTCCCCAGCGAAACTTGCTTTATCCTGTTCAAAACTCCTCTGTCTGTCCCAGGAGAGACTGGAAATATATTCTTTCTAGGAGCTGCTGGAAAATTAGCCCACATTAGGAGAAGCCTAGATGATGCTGAATTGGGGACAGAAAGGTCCATTTGAGAGAGGAAAAAAAAAACGTTCTTTGTAACCAGGACAAGGCTAAACCTCCCTTCTCTCCATTGGTCCAAATCTATGCCAGCCTCCCACTGGCATCCGTGGGTGTGCTGAGAACAAGCTATGGATTTCTATAGAGACTGTCGCCATGGTACTAGGGGCCTTATTCTGCTATTTCAAGAGGGAAAATAATCAAAAGGTCAAAGGAAGAAAATCTACCATAGAGCTCTTCAAACTACAAATATGTGTAATGCTTTAGCGAGTGTCAGCCATAGCAAGTTGGGCTGGGAGAGATGGCCTGTCTTGCAACCCCCAGGAATCAAGCACAAGATTGGACACTGCCCATCTGTGATCCGATTTCTTTCTCACAACAACCTCGAGAGGGCAAAACGGTACAATCTCATTTTGTCAAGTGGGGGGAAAATGAATTTAAGGAACTTGTTCATGGGCATCAGAAGTGTCATACTGGACAAGACCAAATCCCAATAGAGGGTCCGTTTAGGGAGTGGGGGAGATGATGAATGTAAAGTACTGTTTGATCTGTTTACGGAGACATGGGGTGAATTAGGGAGCTGACAGGCAGGGGAGGGAGAGGGAGGAATCAAGACAGCAGAGAAGTAGGACGTGGAGCTTGCCTCCTCCCACAAATACATCAATAAATACACCTGCAAGTGGAACAATTTACACAGAACATGTACTGAACGCTGCAGAAGACCTCAGTCTTCCAAAAAGGCAAGGAAACCTCCACGTAATCAGGTAGGCTAAGATCATGGCATCTGGTTCCATCACTTCATGTCAAATAGATGGGAAAAATTGGAAACAGTGACAGACTTTATTTTCTTGGGCTCCAAAATCACTATGGATGGTGGCTGCAGCCATGAAATTAAAAGAGACGCTTGCTCCTTGGAGGAAAAGTTATGACAAACCTAGAATGTGTATTAAAAAGCAGAGACATTACTTTGCCAACAAAGATCTGTATAGTCAAAGTTATGGCTTTTCCAGTAGTCACGTATGGATGTGAGAGTTGGGCCATAAAGAAGGCTAAGTGCTGAAGAACTGGAGCTTTCAAACTGTGATGCTGGAGAAGACTCTTGAGAGTCCTTTGGACTGCAAGGAGATCAAACCAGTCAGTCTTAAAGGAAATCAATCCTGAATATTCATCGGAAGGACTGATGCTGAAGCTCCAATACTTTGGCCACCTGACGCAAAGAGCCGATCCATTGGAAAAGCTCCTGATTCTGGGAAAGATTATAGGCAAAAGGAGAAGGGGGTGGCAGAGGACAAGATGGTTGGATGGCATCACCAACTCAATGGACATGAGTTGGAGCAAGTTCCCGGAGGTGGTGAAGGACAGGGAAGCCTGGCATGTTGCAGTCCATGGGGTCACAAAGAGTCAGACACGACTGAGTGACTGAACAAAACAAAAACTGGGTAGGACAAAAAAAAAGAGAGAGAGAGAGGGAGCTGATAGGGGTGCTGAGGCAGCTGGGAGGAGCACAGAGAAAATCGCACACTGTCTGTTGGCCTGAGGGGCAAGGAAAGAAAACATCGTTATCAGCTAGTGGGGACTGCAGGGGAGAAAGCTCCCCTGGACTTGGAGCAGCAGGAGCTGGGCAGAGAGTGAATGGGAGGGGTGGCAAATGGGCATCTCCAGCACAGGGACATCTACTGACCACAACTGGGTGGTGCCAAGCCCCATCCAAACAACTGAGGATGGAAGGGGAATGCTTCCCAATAGGAACTGGCAATCACTACGCTAATTCTGGTTAACAGCCACCAAAGCCAGTGGCTTACATGAACAGGCATTTTTTTTTTTTTTTTGCTCGTGCATCTGAGGACAAATTGTGCCCCTGCTGGGGTCTCCTGGGCCAGGCTCCAGGCTCCAGGTTGAGCTGGGTCTGCTCCACTTGCTCATCATCCGATGTGGATTTTCTCATCTCGGATGACAGGTGCACAGACCAAACCGCACAAGCACACGGAGGCCCTCTGCTCGTGTCGTGTCCCCCACGTCCCACCGGCCAGCACACGCCTCCTGACCAAGCCCAATGACAGTGCCATGAGGGGATAAAACTCCGGCTACTCGACTGAGAGGCACTGAAAACCCATGAGTTGAATAACATGATCTATAACCCTGTTCTACAGGAATGAAGATTAGAAGCAATATTTTAATCTACCATCTTCCCCAAAGGAAAATAAAAATGTCAATATCAAAATAAGAATAGAAATAGATTCAAAACTACCCATGTCAACCACAGTGGTCTCAAGAAATGTTCATTTGGACAAGCTGGAGAAGTGGGGGGGGGGGGAATGAGAGTATGTTCGCTGGATTCTTGGGGTCAAGTCTCAAAAATTAGTAAGTTTGTAGAGGTTGGCGCGGGGAAGGTCTCTAGTGGAGATTTCAGGACTCTGAACTCAATGGCATCCCATTCGTGACATTTACAAATGACATGATGATTACATTCCAGAAATTACAAAATTAGGGGTCACAACCCAACTGAAATACTTGGATGCACTGAAATACTTGGAGCCCTAAAATATTGTGAGCGGCATGTATGAGAGACTGAATCCAATCACATGATGTTCAAAGGGTAAGTCATTCCCACTGGGACTCAAAAACTTGACCACAGAGACACCAGATTAGGGGCTTTCACTTAGTTCTGGGATTCTAAGTGCAGTCCCTCTCTGCTCCTCAGCGTCTCCTTCGGGGCTGATAAGACCTGCCTTGGACAGACAGGGGAGGATTCTGAGCAGCACTGTGCGTGAGCTGAGCCTGCGGTCTAGGAGGTGCTCCCTGCCTGCGGGTGCTGCACACGTTTGCCTGAGTGCCAGCAGGTGTGCCTGTCACCCGGGGACCCCAGCTGACTCAAAGATGACGCTGCGCTGCGTGTGCGCAGCAGAGAAGCTGAGCAGGAGCCCACTACAGGTGAGAAGCAGGTCCCATTGCATTTTAGCCCTCATCTGCAGCGACTCATTCAACCTCAGGTATCTTGCTTAAAAGTGGGACCTTGATAAAAGGATCAAGGAAGAGTGCCAGGGAAGGGAGGGGAACTCAGCATCTTTTCCAACCAGATTTTAAGGAATTAGGGATCTTGAGTGAGGACAGAGTCATAATGCCAAACATTTGCCAGAGTGAAGCTGAAGGGAGTGACCTCTATTTGGCATGCAAGGCTGGATCCAAGGTTGGAAGCTGTTGGATGCCCGTGACAGGCTGTGGATTTAGGCTCAGAGTAGGGAGGGGCTTGGAACCCATCACTGTGCTCTGAGTTTGAAATGTACTGTCTTATTACGGGGCTCCCCTGGTGGCTCAGACGGTAAAGTGTCTGCTTGCAATGTGGGAGACCAGGGTTCGATCCCTGGGTCAGGAAGATCCCCGAGAGAAGGAAATGGCAACCCACTCTTATCATGGGGCTTGGGTCAGATAGATCTTGTCCAAATCCTGGCTTAGCTTACTTCCTGTGTGACCTTGGGCAAACCCTTCCATTTCCCTGGCCTCTGCCTGGGTCAGAGTTCTGCCCACATAAAATGCTAAGGAAACGGTAACAGATGGCAAAGATTCTGAGTCTGCCTGCCAGGAAGAATCACCTCTCCCTCCAGAACTAGGGGGGAAGCAGAAGCCATATGAGGGGAACTACTGAAGCCCCGTTGGCACCAGGGGAGAGTGAGACAATGAGAAGGTCACTGTTTATTGCCCCTCTCTCAGCAAAATGTCATTCTCTCAGCAGACAGGAAGGATGGAGGCACTGTTGACTTTTTGGGCTATCCCTCCGGGATCTGGCGCTAGACCTGACATCATGGAGACTGATCAACACTGGAAAGAAAGAAACAATGAGGGAGAGAGGGAGAGCAGGATGAAGAGCATTCCATATGCTTAGCATTCCTCCCTCACAGAATCTTATCTTCCCAAGAACCTGATAAACTAGGAATTATCACCCCTCACTTTCTGAGAAAGTGCAAATTGGGCTCAGCAAATTGCCTTTTGCAATGTATGAGACCTGGGCAAGTTACTTCCCTGTTCCTCAGTTTCCTCATCTGAAAAATGGAGGTGGTGATAATATCATCTGGCTCATAGATTTGTCATATGAGTATTGTTTCGGCACATGATAAATCTTGACTAAATCAAGTGTTTGATTGGAAGATTTTTCCTTCCATGCCATGCACATCTACAAACAAATATTTAAGTGGTTCCATCTCTGTAATCAATGCCACATACATAAATTAATTTTCTTTCCAAGGTTGAGGCCTGAGCACAATTTTGATAAACCACAGCTGTCCACATCTCCCTAAGCTGGAGCTTTTTTTGGAGGGTAGTGAAAATGCGACACACGGCAAAGGAGGAAAAATCACTCTCATAAAATAGCCCTAAAGCAATAAATGCAGATCATGGGATTCATGAGGATGACAACCCACCAGCGTCTATGAATATTTGATCAGGTTGGCTTTCAGGAACGTGGTCAGGAATCTGCAGGCAGGCTGTGGTTCAAGCTTGCAAGTGATATACATGCAGGTATGAAACTAACTCCTGCACCTGGGCAGCCCTTCCACCAGAAATTTCTGCCCTGCCAACTTGACGCAGGTAATGAGTCAACCGAAGGGACCAAGGCCCACCCCTCCCCAGCCCAGAGTGACCCACGTGGCCAGTGGCTCCCCTGGCGCTGACCTGAGATGACGCTATTAACAAGGGCTGAAAGCCACTCAGCCTGCTAGGGAAGATCTGGGTTCGTGTGAACCAATCTCCAAGTCCCAAGCTGTCCTCCAGCCCCTTTCAGGGACGGTCTGGGAGCAGCTCAGGTTTCCCACTGCCGGGGCCTGTCTAAACAGATCCCATTACACCCCAGCAATGTCTCCCTGAGGCAGGGACACCCAGCTGGGGGAGGTCAGCTTTTGGTTTTCCGGACCTTGGGATGACAGCATGTCAATGGGGCTGGCAGTGTCCACCCCTTCATCCAGGCCTAGGGTTGCTACTTGAAGCTGCACATAAGAGGGCACGCCAGGTTTGAATCCTAGATCTGCCACTTTCTAGGTCTGGGGCTTGAGCAAATCCCTTAGCCTCTGAGCCTCAGTTTTCTCATCTGTGTGAAGATATAAAAGTATCCAGCTTTCACATTTATTAAGACACACAAGTGATATAAACCACACAAAATGTTTCACATGGTGATTAGCCATGATTAGAAGCACTAGTGCTTAATAAGTCTGAGCTACTTTTAACGTTTCTTCCCATTGTTCCTGCTCAGGGCATGTTCCTAGGAAACAGAGTTCCACACTGTATTGGCCAAATTCATCTCTGTTAGACCTAAGCAGAACAATGAGATAGTCTAGTGCTCAACCATTTTTTAGAGATTGAGACTTTGGGGCCTACCTGCTAGGCAACTTCCTCCAGGTCACACAGGTAGCTGGTGGCAGAGCTGAGCCTGAATCCAGGCCTTCTGAGGCTCCTCCTCCTCTTCCTCCTCCTTCTTGTCCTCTCCCCACCCCCCTCTGCATTGCACTCTCCAGCAGACAGTGTTTGTACACGTATCTTTCCCCATCGCATCAGGTTCCTGCGGAATCAGGGCCACGCAGCCTCATCTCATTTGCATCTGTCCTTCTCTCCTGCAATGCATTCTGGGAAGCTCCTCTGAGCTCTGGGAATTAGCATCCTTCTGACAGACTTCTTCAGGTCCAAAGGAAATCAACACCTCTCTAAGATTTCTATTTGCCCTCAAATTTCGGCCCCAAGCCTCAGTAATATCTCTGTTCCTCACTCCCTCCATTTCAAAGGAGAGCTACAGAAACACACCTGCCTCCGGCTTCTTTTTGTGAAAGCTAAGATAAATGTTCAGGGCACAGGGGCTTTTCTCCTCACAAGGCAGAGGAAAGGAAGAGCAGGATTTGTAAAAATCATGCCCCAGGCACTGAGCCTGCTGCTAAAACATGAAGGTCACTTGTGTTACTATAAATGTTATTTTTTCCATAAACCTGAACTGAATTGTACTCCAGACAAAGCAATGTTTGCCTCAAAACAAAACACAGTCTTTGAACCTAGACATATGTGAGTCTGACTCCCAGCTCTGCCATGCACTGACCCCTGGCCCTTGACCACTTCATTGCCCATCTCCAGACCTCCGTCTTCTCATCTGAAAAACAGTAACAACACTGTCCACCTCCATGGCTCTTTGTCAGAGCCTTTGAGCAAAATGAGATGATATATGAAAGTCCCAGACATAGGAGACAGACAATCAATAAGAGCTTTCATTAGGTGACTGTCACCATGGGGTCCTCATTCCTCCAGCAGCATTTAAAGCAGAGTTTCAGGATGGTTCTGCTGCTGGGAGGAAGCTTGCTTGCTTGTTTGAAAAATCATCGAACCTCTAAACCTCATTTTCCAGATGCATCTGTGCTCCAGAGAGGTAAATTAGAAGGGAAGTAGGGAAAAAAAAAAGCTGGAGATAACACAGAAAATCCGTTTTAGGGCCAAGGGGCTGCAGAGGGATGGACAAGACGACCAGGAATTTTGAGACTTATTTACAAAGTCACACCCACAACCTCAACCCCCGTGACCTTAGTGCCACAGCCAAGCACCCCATTGAGCCCACTGGAGGATTTGCAGTGGGGTTCAAGGCTGTGGGCAGGCTGGCTGGACAGCAGAATGTGTCCTTAGGTCAGTTCCATTGCCACAAAATGAGAATAATACCTCCATCACAGGCTCATTGTAAAGACAAATACTTAATGGAATAAAAGTGCGGCTACCTCATTTGAGTAGGGGATGGCAGGCATTGTGCCAAGTGCACCCCAAACATTTGGTCCTTTGAGCTAATAAAATTTATGTTAAGAGGAAACTTTCTCTCACAGTAGCAATTGGAAAATAGTTCTCATTTGCTATAGATAGATGATCATCATAAAAATTTTGTTGATGTTATTGTTGCTCAGCTGTGTCTGATTCTTTGCTACCCCGTGGACTGCAGCACGCCAGGCTCCCCTGTCCTTCACCATCTCCAAGAGCTTGCTCAAACTCATGTCCATTGAGTCGGTGATGCCATCCAACCATCTCATCCTCTGTCGTCCCCTTCTCCTCCTGCCCTCAATCTTTCC